CACACACTAAACACTGGTTTGGGTTCATCTAGACATGCACGCTCCACCATGTTTCAGCTGAGGTGTCTTTCCAATCACTTCAGCTGAAACAGTTTAACTAAGCACACAGAGCAATGCTGTTAACAAGTCTCCTGTCTGCACTGACCTGAGTGGATTTTTTTACAATTTCTTGTAGCGCTTAGTTTATTGGCCTGTGGCTTTGAACTTTGCCCACAATGCTGGAGCTTTAAGGCTTTAACAGGACTCTGTTTGTACATCCTGTTCGTTCCCACTGTGCGGTAAGAGGAATCAGAAGTGGCCTGTTAACACATTAAGCTGTCAGGAAGTCTCTGTTGTCTTCAGACACTATGTTAGTCACCAACAGCTAAGCCAAAGGTAAAAGGACACACTTTATTTATCTGTTCTGCCTCTGCCTTTTGTTGCTTGGCCTCTGTGACTGGTTTACACAATCTCTGTGTGTTCGTGCCTGTATGACGCAAAGAGAGAGTGTGTATTTATCCTAAATATTCATGCACAGCTCTTCTCGCTGCATTTTGTATTCACAATGAAATATTCTCCCTGAGTGGACTGAAGTTGTTTACACTAAACCCTCAGTGTGTGTGTGTGTGTGTGGGGAGGGCTGGGGTGGGAGGGGGTAGTACGTAACACCGCTCCATGCCTACTCTCTCTTCAGATAAAGAGGAACTCTTTCAGAATGTACTGACGCGAGCAGCAGAGCAGTTTTCAAAGTAAGCAGATAGGTGAGTGCGTATGTTTCAGTCTAAAGTTACTGTAAATGGTTTCTTTACACTCTGTTCTAACAGCGTCTTTTATAGTTTGTTTTGTTTCAATTAGCTTGGCTTGGGGTTTTTGTAGAGCATTGTCCAGAAAACAGAAAACCTTGTATCTCCAAAACCTGAAACAGAATGATGAAAATGTCAGTTTTATGACTGCTGTGGCTTTTCTTTCATGTTCTTTACTTTGTATTAATTCAACGAGGCTATAACCCCACCTCGAGTTAACAGCAGCTGCAACTTGTTAATGGTACTGCTAGTTATCTGTTGTTGTCGTCGTATCTCTTCATCCGTATCTGCATCTTTGAACTTTCACAGATGATTTTACTGCTTTTGCTCTCATGTCATTTTCACGCCAATGAAACATTTACGCAGTGTTGTTAGTGCTGTAATCCTGCAGTAGAGCAGAGCTTTGGTGGTTTTGTCAAAGTCTGAAGCTGAAATAAAGGATCTTCATGTCTGAAAATGAAATTTGCTGTGAGCAGTGAATTTGCACCTGCTGTGTTTTAAGACTAGCAGAAGAATATTTAACATTATTTGACTTACTGTCACATTTTAATACAATAACATGTTTATGTATCTATGTAGCATTCTGCATGTGCTTCCTTATGACAGATGAGGTATGAAGACGGGCACCTGAAAGAGTTAAAATACAGCGACAGGCCAAAAATGAATAAACAACGGATATGGATTAATGTGAACACGTTCACAAGAATATAAATACTCTTGCTCTTACTAAGACAAAAACTATGTGTAAACATAACTGTTCATTGATCATTAAGCTTCTCCATGAGC